TTAGATATAAGGAAGAGATGCAACTGGTGTCTCGAGGACATGCAAAATGCAAAGCACCCACTCTGCTGATGTTAAAAGGAAGTGAAAACAAAAACATGAAAATATAAGTGAGTGATCAGCACCCTGCAGTGGTCAGAGAGAGAAACTAACAAACCCTCTTCTCATATCCATTGTCTGCTCCTTAACAGGTTCAGGTCATAGGGTCAGCGCTCCAAGTAGAGAAGTAAAGAACAGATATCTCTCTCTGCTGCCACTTTCCCTAGACTCAGCTTCCATTGAAGAAGGCATGTCAACAGGATTGAGGACTTCTTCAGAATGTTCCCATCTCCAGCAAGACTCCTCTGACAATGAGTGAGAGCAGAAAACTACCAACTATGTAACTCCACGGTCCAGTGTTTTCTGTACTAAGAAGAGAGTAATCTGGCTGCCATTTACCGGTTTTTTCAGACCATAAAGCACACTGGATTATAAGGTGCACTGTCGATGAACAGGTCTGTTTTCATACATAAGGTGCACCGTATTATAAAGTGCATTAAGCTAAACAAATTAGTCAGATAAGTAAAATTTTACTCAACTCATTCTTCTTCCTTCCTCCACTTCCGTACCATTGATTCATGAATGCTGAATTCTCTCACAGCTGCTCTATTCCCATGTTGTTGCAGTATATTAATGACCAACCTCGTATTGTCCTTGTCCTGACTGAAGTTTGGTCCATTTACAGCATCCTGATTGAATTTGTACCTAACCATCGGGAACCCTCATGTTAACTTTTATTGAGTGGGAAAAAAGTTAGCGATCATACTCAAGCTTTACTGTGTTTATGTTATGCTAACATAGCTGTGTTGCTAACGATCACATAGCACATCATTATATACCAGCTAGCCCAACTTCAGTAACCCTGCAAACGTCACTGCTATTTAGTTTTCTGTCTTCATTTATGTCGGAAGTGATAGCAGAGCTGTACGTTTGAATTCTTTCAGAAATCTCTCAGTCAGAACATGCTATATCATGTTTACGTGGAAACTAGCGAGATAACTTCCTGCTAACTTCTAACTCCATTAAATTGAATAAATTCTGTTTTCATGGATGCCTGGATGTTAAGCCTGGTAAAGCAGCAACGCTGATCATTTTATTAAAGATGTAAGAATTTAGACAGTTTTTAACTCTTAGTGATGCCGCAGTGTTCGTTTGACTTTGGGACCTGAAGCAGACGGAGTTTTGGACCCAGATTACTTCGCGAGGCTCCTGAGTACGGCAGCCGTAATGCTCCAGCAATCTAACAAGTGGTGTGGCTTCGTAGCTTACCAAAGTCAAACTAAAACATTTTTTGATAGATTTTTGTACTGTGTACTACATAAAATCAGTTTGAGGTAAGTAAGCACAACCAGAATTCATACATAAGGCGCACTGTCGATTTTTGAGAAAATTAAAGGATTTTAAGTGCACCTTATAGCAGGGCCGTGCAGAGAGGTTTAAAGGGGCGGGTGCTCAAAGTTAAAAAGGGGCACATTGCACCAGGCTGAATAACATCAACGCACATTCATCAAGAATCTAATATGGGCAACAAGGCAAAGCAAACGTAGCCGATGTTTTACCTGATGAGTACAATGTTGCTGTTGAGGGGTTGCTGTGGATAGTGCTGGAGGGCAGGGCTGTGTTAATCTGAGACTGTAGACAGTAAAAAGTCCATAGGAGAGATGGTAGCTGATTAAACAAGTGTCAGGAGATAATAACAAAATGCAAAGGTTGGTGACATCGCTTGGAACCATAAGGCAAGAAAAAACTGTGAGAAATAATTTAGGCTCTGCCTGTGAATCACTCTTTGCTTCGCTTCTTCCATCCCATCATTTCATATATCACTCTCCACTTGCTGTCTATCTGAGAACAAGGCACAACTTGTTGTCACGGTTTGCTGGGGCAAGCCGTGTGGCGTTGGAGGAAGGACCCAAAAGGCGGCAGCTCTGGTGCAGGTGAGTATTTATTTACAGGAGTGGGTACAAACAGCAATGGTGGGTGAACATGAAACCGGAAACCTAAACTGGGTAAACTAACAACACAAACCAGAAACGAAGATGCAGGGAGATCCGGGGAAATACACATGGAGAGATGCAGGGAGACCGAGGGGAAACAACACAGTCAAACCAGCAACTACTAAGACAGAAACACAACTTAAATACACTCAGAGAACACAGGGAGATTACACACAGGTGGGAAACACAGCTGGGAGTGATTAACATGACGAGACTAAGGAGGCAAACTGAAAACACTCACATAAGACGCAGACCTTCACAATAAAACAGGAACTTACACATGAAAGGACACAAACTAAGAAACGCGGACTAGATACAGGAACACATGGGCAGAACAGAGTAAACACTAACCAGAGGAAGAACAGAACCAAAATCGCGAAGAGAAAACAAAAAACGCTGGGTCAAAAGTACCCAGGATCATGACACTTGTTATTGCAATAAACTATAATCTAATTATCCACACCTAACAACTCTTGCACTTAATCTAAAATAAAATGATGACAGAAAAATGTTATAGCACTGCCTTTAGTAGCCTCACACAGCTCCTACTGTTTCCTCCTCATGTCCTTACCAGGCATGTCTGGACAATGTTATATCATTGTAATAATTTAAAAAAATCCATATACATAAAACACACACATGCACGCGCACACAGTGACCTTTTAGACCTTCTTCAGAATACTGTATATACTATGGGCATCTCGGTGCTGATCCAGAATCCTTATATTATTATTTATTACTAGAGCTACAATAATAAAGCAAAGAGGAGGGGGAAGTAATAAATATGAAATAATGTCATTATGATGATTCCATTTGTTTCACTATCCACTCTGTGCAGGGGCAAAGCTTATTACATTTTTAAACTGTAGAGATACAATAATTTCACTGCTGTAAAATCCAAATTTTGTCTTATTTAAAATATAAATCTAATATAATCTGCTTCTTGGGGCAATCGTGGCTCAAGAGTTGGGAGTTCGCCTTGTAATTGGAAGGTTGCCGGTTCGAGCCCTGGCTTGGACAGTCTTGGTCGTTGTGTCCTTGGGCAAGACACTTCACCTGTTGCCTACTGGTGGTGGTCAGAGGGCCCGGTGGCGCCAGTGTCCGGCAGCCTCGTCTCTGTCAGTGCGCCCCAGGGTGGCTGTAGCTACAATGTAGCTGCCATCACCTGTGTATGAATGGGTGGATGACTGAATGTAGTGTAGAGCGCTTTGGGGTCCTTAGGGACTAGTAAAGCGCTATACAAATACAGGCCATTTACCGCTTAATGTATGTTCTTTAAAATACAGCGTGTTTTTTTAAAAATATTATAATTATAATAATGCATAACTATGTGGACATGCATATTAGATCATTTTTTAGTGAAATATAATCCCTCCAGAAAGGCAGGAAAAGCCCGGAAACTTACTTTAAAACGAAATATGTTCCCTAAAACGGTGACAGAGCTACAGACCCATGACAGCCTTACACAGGTAGCCAGCAGCTATGACCAGCACTACATGTGCAGTTAATAAAAGGACAGGTAATGTTTGTCGCGCTGTTGCACACACAGTACGCTCATTTGTTTCAGTTCGTCAGTTGCAACAAGACAGCTTACCAACGTGTACGTAATAAGCTAATACTCCTGGGTGCTATACACTACACACATGCTGTACACGCTGTACACCTACTTACTGGTTTTGTCGCATCAGTCTGTGTCTCTGAGTTAACTTGTGTTTCTCCTACAGCTCCGGACCGCAACAAATGCGCGTGCTCTTTGTGAGCTTGTTCCCGGCTCGGGCGATCATTGGTTAAATGTGATCATGTGACTGATGCAAGCCAGATCCTTTCATTTAGCAAAACTGTGATTAATAGTTAAATATTATTGTTGAGGGGCACAGACAGGACTCCGCACGCACACACATTAAAAAAATAATAAATTTTTTTTTAAAAAGTTGCCTCAACAAAAGGGCACTTTGGGCACCCATCAGGAGGCTCAAGCCCCTCTAGCCCCCCCCCTGCACGTGCCTGCCTTATAGTCTGGAAAATACAGTATAGCGATGTGTCGGTCGTGATCGAAATGGCTCTTAGAGCCGGATCTTTGAAGTGAACGACACGAGCCGGCTATTTATTGGGAGCCGTTTTTTTTTTTTTCCTTTCTTTCACCCTCTCTCTTGCACTTTTTTCCCACTTCACTCCGCACACAAGCCTTGTGCTTGCGCTGGGTGGAGGGGCGGTAGTTACACTCGCAGTAGCACAGGAACAGAGCGGGAGGGAAAGAGAATGTGCATTTTCTTTTTGTTTTCATATTTGAATTTATATTTAATTGTGTTGTCGTTTGTAGTGTTTTGTGTTGTTTCACTTTAAATTTGTTTAAAAGGAAAAAGCTGAAAATGAAATTAGCTAAAAGATGAAATGTAAATAGTTGTTTTTTGTATTATATGATTGATTTATTACTTTTTATGTGGAGTGAATAAATAACAATATATTTACGGTGGCCCCTACAGACAAAGCACGTAAAAACTCAGAAGCACGTACAAACTCCAAAACACATACAAAACGCAACAGAAGTGCTCCAAGATGCTAGGGGCAGTGTTGAGCTTTTGTTACTTAGTGGCTACACAAGCCAGGAAGTACCAGATTTGATGTGTGGTGGTAACAGGTAAATGAACATTTTTTTAAATTATTTGAATATATATGAGTGTTTGTGTATAAATACACAAACAATACACACATGCTTTTAATTGTGTAATTTAAGTGATCTAGGTAGCTCTGCTTTGGAAGTTCAGTTAACTCTAGAAAGGTGTTTTGGAGTTTGTACGTGCTTTCTCTCTAGGGGCCACCATATATATTTATATATAAACATTTATAAATAAAACCACTGTTTTTTTTTTTTACATTAGTAATTCCTTTTGTGCATAATTTTATATTGTTGTTAATAATAAATTAATTAAAGCAACAAAACGACCTGAAGAGCCGGTTGGGAGCCGAAAGAGACGGTTCTCTAAAAAGAGCCGGAAATCCCATCACTAATACGGTAAATAGACTCTCTTCCCAGAATCTGGTGGTTGTGATAAAGCCTGGGGGCAACTCATAGCTAGCTGATCACAGTCTAAAGAAAATAAAGATGGTGCCAAATGTTAGAAGTCAGCAAACACATAGGACTATCATTTCTGACAGTGCTACCTCTAGCAGCTCTTTTGTGTTCTATGAGCTGCACCTTCCCTTTTCTTTTCTTTTCTTTCATCCTTTTGTGATGTATTTATTTTTTTCGATCCTTCCTTCAACAAATTTCTTCCAGTTTTGTTTACTAATATTGGCATTTGATTATCTGATTTAATTAATTTTTTAACTATACACAGATGCATACCCATTTATTTATTTTTATTTTGGCATACACATGTATGAATGCACAGGTGTGTACATGCATATGCACGGATGTTATTATCAGTATTCCATTATAATTATAATTTTTCAGCGGTGGTTTATCCTCTGGCATTTTTGCTGTAATTTCCCACAATGAACTCCCAAGGCTAGATCTTCTGAAGTTCTCTGCCCATCACAGAAAACTAGAGGAAGAACAACTCATTTTGTTGGCATGGTGTTTGTATTGTTCTTTTTCTTCTCTCTCCTCCCCTCCTTGATGTCCACACTGTATGATTTGACTGTGTATTTCTATACTAAGCCTCACCCTTCTGCGCTCTCTCTCTGTGTAACCTTTATTCAAATGGTTTGAAGCAAACTTCAGTCATTCATTACAATGATTACATTATCTTCTTTTCTATGTTGTACTTTAACATGATCATCCATTAAATCCATCACATGTTAATATAGTTTTCTGTATGTCTCACTTAGTTAACCCGAGAATCACTGCAAAATATGTAATAGACAAGTGAGTGTCCATTTTACACTTTACTTCTCCATGTACACACATGCAGAAGTTTTATGTAACAGCAGAGGGAGATATTGTATTTCGAGGCAACATGAAAATAATCACAGACAAGCATTTAAACAGACATTATAAATAGGGCTAGATATTGTCACTAATTTCTATAACTGATTTGATTCTGATGGTCCAGATTCGATTCGATTCTCAATTCAATTTCGATTCAATTTTGACTCAGACAGTCAGAAATATTATAATTCTGATCATTTATCATTACATATTTTATAAACAAAGCTGACACTTTGCCAGATGTGCACGCATCACAGCAGATCCTTTTATGTCAAAGTAGCTGAGGATAAAACACAGAAAAACATGACTGAGATTTTCCAGGCCTGGCTTTTTAAAGCAGATAACCCCTTAAAAGTATTCTGCAGTAGATCAAAAATGGAAGAAAACCAATAATTAACATATGAACATCACCTGATGCTGTTGAAATGAAGCAGAGCAAAGTTACAGAGGGTTTTATTAGAGACACAGCTAAGCGTTTTGAAATCAGAAAATAGATTTTTTTTAAACACATCTTAAGCCACCTAGCTTAATCCTTTCTTGCAATTAAGGACCCTGGAATGTGCTTCACATGTTTTTTGCTCACTTCTTAGCTTCATATATAACATTTAAAACCTATGATCTCCCCCCGCTAATGGTAATGCAACTTCACCATGTATGTCCATTTGATGACTCAGTGTTTGTCAATCACAATATACTCAATAGTGCTTCTGTTATTCAATATCATGCCTGGTGATGGGTCGATGATGTCTTATTCATATCTTTCACATTCCAGCAGGAAACCTCACACACTGTGACTAGTTTGCCAGGGTCAAAGGTGAATCATGCCAAAAAAATACAGGCATTAAAAGAATTTAATTGATTAGAGTACATTGCTCATTCATTATATTGATAAGTCAGATTGAATAGACTACATACCTAGCTATACATATAATTATTAGTGCTGTCAGCATGCTGACATTAACGCCATAACCGCATTAATGAGGACAATCTCCGTTAGCAAGTTATCGTGGATCGCCACGTGCGTGGGGCTGCACAGCGTCAACGTGTTAGCACGGTTAGCTCGTTAACGCGTTGTTTTAAACCTCTGTATTATTTAACATCCAGCTTTTTTATTTTACTTTTGGATAAAGTAGAGCCGGAGGAATTCAATCTCTTTGAGAAGCAGAGTTTCACACAACTCTGGTCACTGCAAATTGTGTGGGTTCACTCTGCATGCAAACAAAAGGATAATCTCAAACGGCATCACATTAAAAAAAATATTGTTATTATTTCATTTTACAGAGTTGAACTCCAATGCCAGACTTCTGTCAAGAAATTCACATCAAGGAGCAAAATGAACAATGAACAAAGGACACTACCAAGCAACTATAGTAACAAAAATGAATATTTAAAATTGATTTTGCAAAGCATATTTCCTCAGTAGCAAACAAAATTAAGTTTCTCTTCACAGTCATGAGCCCCCCAAACACCCTCAGTCCCTTCTGTCACCTGTATGGCTGCACACTCCATCCTGGGATCAGGACATGCTGGTTTCCCCCCTTCATCCCAAGCCTCGTAGTCCATCTCCTGCCTATCCACCCACAGCCAGCCTGCCTGTCCAACCAAAGAGAAGAAATGCAAACCAATCCAGACATGTTCAGCGGGATTATGTTTTTTCAGTTCTCTCTGGATAAGCAGCATCTCGGTCTCAGATGCCACACTGGCCAGGTCATCGTGGTGCTCCCTGCAGTACTCTAGAGCTTCCTCCCAAGTCTTTTGCTCCTCCACTACTACTGCGCGGTAGCAGAAGAATGCTTTGTGTTCCTGTGCGTTTGCATCATTCCACCCGCTTTTCTGCAGACAGCCACTGTCTTCAACACCGAAACAGTCGTTAGGCTCACCTGGTGACCAGAAACATGTGGTAGTCACTCCACCCCCTGACCACAGCCATTGCTCCCTGTTGGAGCAATTTCTTTCCGCTCCTATCCAGATACATGGCCAGGATGTACTATTGAGAATACCAGAGAGCTGCTGAAGTTTGAGATTATCCTGTTCATTACTGACAGGAGCCAGGTCTGTGTATTGCTGCCGACAGTGTGTCAGAGCATCCTGCCAATTCTTTTCATCTTCAATATAAACATACTTTGTAAAAATTCCAGAGAAGCTCAGCAGGATGCACATGAAGAATAGATCCATTGTTTACTTGTTTTAAAGTATTTTGCTCTAATGATAAAGGTTAAAAGAGGAGGGATGGTACTTGTTAAAGCTGTGAGCCTTTCGTATTTGTCACAAAATATTTGCATTGAGGCGGCCCTTCCCTTCACTGAACCTATAGTATTTAGCAGCCATGTGACAAATCACACGTGCTGTTCATTTGTATTTTAGCTTTGGTCAATTCATGTTTATATTGTCCTCTTGTGAGTAGAATTGCAACAAGAATCTAACAAATACAGTGTGATTAATTCGTCATAAGAAAGTAAACAAGCAAGATTTTTGAATTCTGAAGTGGATCTAAACCTGAATGACCATTTTATCTTATGTCTGGTGCTTGTTTGTGAACATTTTCACGTTCTGTATTTCTGTATTAGTATGCATTGACACCTCATCTGATCTTCTAAAAATAAGAAGAAAGAAACAAATTAAGAACCCAATTAAGTAGTCTGCAGGGGTCTTTTATTTAAATAATGGATGAACTTGGTCACTACAGGATATCTGGTTCTGGATCATTAAAGATGAAAATCAAGATTAGTTTCATTTTTCTTATCTGAGGTTGATAGTTGTTTGAGGTAAAAAAAAAAAAAAAAACTGAAACAGCAGGGACAGGCTTGGGGCGTCGGAGGATGCCCTAGAAACATCTTCCTTGGCGGGCTCAACCTGGGGTTGTGGTCACGACCTGGTTACGGGCTCTGGTGGCTCTTAGATGATGGTTTCCTCATGGCTGCATGCAGCGGGTCTGGGGGAGGGTCTGTGTTGACAGACGAAAGGTTACTGATCTAGCTGCCCCTGGGTGGGCCTGTGGCGAGCATTCTGCTGTGTTGCCGAGGTTGTGGGCGGGTGGGTGCATGGGGGCTCAGCCCTGGCGTGAGGGGCTTCCGGTGCATTGAGCCAACTGGAGGGCTCTTCAACTCGAGGGGAGGCTGTTACATCCTTGAAGAAGTCCTCTGGTCTCCAGGAGTTCACTCTGCAGGCGGGGGAGAGATATAGGAGAGGAGCATAATGAACTTAACCTGGGTGTCTATTGTCTTGTGTAGTCTGGGAGATGAGTGGCCTCTCATCCTGTAAAGAGTTCATGCAGAGCCATCCATATTTTCTGCTAACAAACAAAGCAAAAAAAAAAAAACAATCACAAACATAAGATTATTTGCAGAGGTTCACATTGTCGGAGGTTCACTGGGATTTCCTGGACTGAAAATACCGAACAAAGTTTTCATTTGCTTTAAGGCAAAATGCAAGTGTTGCTTGGCCTTACGTCAGACAAACAAGTCGTATTTTTGTATGATAACATAAAACTAATCACAAACATAAGATTAGTTTCACAGTTTTCCTCACACAATAAAGCCCAGGCTTTGTTGCACAGAAGACACTAAACAAATTTTTAATTTGCTTAAGGCAAAATGTAAGACAAACAAATCACATTTTTGTATGCCAAGTGGAAGCAGTTTTTCATATTGTTACATCATCGTGCCTGGAATGAAAATTTCAAGAAAACAACTTTGAAGATAAGTCAACAAAAATACAAAGTACATGTTTAAAGGGAGCACACTTTGAGACAGACATGACTGTGACCTAGTCTCATTATAATGTATATATACATATGTATATGTATATACATATGTATATATACATATATATAAAAAAATAAATAAAACGTCCCTGCGGGCGGTTTATCCTTCAAGCTCGGGTCCTTTACCAGAGGCCTGGGAGCTTGAGGGTCCTGCGCAGTATCTTAGCTGTTCCCAGGACTGCGCTCCTCTGGACAGAGATCTCCGATGTTATTCCCGGGATCTGCTGGAGCCACTCGCCTAGCTTGGGAGTCACCGCACCTAGTGCTCCGATTACCACGGGGACCACCGTTACCTTCACCCTCCACATCCTCTCGAGCTCTTCTCTGAGCCCTTGGTATTTCTCCAGCTTCTCGTGTTCCTTCTTGCTGACAGCACTAGTGGGAACACAACGAATATGACTGCACATTTACTCCGACATCATCCTAGTGCAAAGACAAGTGGAAGCAGACAAAAACAACAAGCACGCATGCTACAAACTTTACCCGAGTCATTTAGACAGCCGTTAGCACATGATTTTCCTTATGGGGACCTGATATGTTTAATATGCTGCTGAGAATATAGCCCAGAAGAAGCGTATAGTATAGCTTTTATTTTGGAAAGAGCCATTTCTCTGTAATAAACTCTCTTTTCCAAAGATGAGTGATTCCTCAATCAGATATATTTATTTTTTTTACTTTGTTGTTTCAGCAACATTAAATTTAAAAACTGTACTTTTGAGTTAAAATATATATTTTATAATTTTAATAAATGACAAATTAAAAAGGCATGAACATTTTTTGTATCGAAAAAATATCGAACCGTGACACCAAAGTATCGAACCGAACCGTAAATTTTGTGTATCGTTGCACCCCTAACACACATATATATATACAGTAGCGGTTTTAGATACGGGCAACACAGGCGGTTGCCCAGGGCGGCATCGTGGTGGTGGGCGGCATCACGGGCATCGGCAAAAAAAAAATGCTCGTACTCATGCTCCCCCGACGTCAACCAGCACATATTGGGAATGGTACAGGCACCGATCGGTTTTCTATCGCCCATTTGTTGGGAGTAAGGACGCCCTTCGTTTGCGAGGTGCGCCTGCTGCTTGCGGCGCAGACAGGAGAGGGCGGGGCGGCGGGGGATTTTCTGACCGGCTGGAGCAGCATCTAATAACCAACTCACAAAATAAAACAAAATAAAAACAAACCAACAAACACGAAAACACCAGACATTATAATACAGACTTATAATCAGAAGAAATCTGGATTCTCAGGTACTCAAGCATTATACGGATCAGGAGGGTAGATGGGTGGTCTTGGATGCATGTCTACAGGGGCAGAAAGTGATATTGGTCAACATATATGCCCCAAATTCTCCTCAACCACAATTTTTTCACGAAGTCTGTAAAACTGTGTGGAATATTGGTAATACAAATATTGTAAGTGGAGGGGATTTTAACCAGGTCAGGGATGTGTTTTTGGATAAATCCTCCCGTCCTAGACCAAGTAAGGACCCTGTTAAGTGCTGCTGTAGACGTTGTGTCAGAGAAACTGAGCCTGGTGGATATATGGAGACTTCTTCGTCCTCAAGAAAGAGACTATACTTTCTTTTCGCATCCTCATCCTCGCTCAACCTACTTTCTGGTGTCTCGCCCTCTGGTGAGTCAAACCGTTGGTTCCTCCAGTGGTAACATTGCAGTAATGGATCATGCTCCCATTGACCTTGTTCTTTCTAGTAATGATAATGTTAAACCTTCACCCAGGTGGCGTCTGAACAACTCACTATTGAAGGATAAGGGTCATTGCAAATGTATAAGGGAAATGTGAGTGTAACGAGGGCTCTATTGACAATGTTGGAATGACCTGGGATGCTTTTAAGGCTTACCTGAGAGGGCGCCTTATCCAGTATAGCTCCCCGATTAAAAAAGCTCAGAGGGACAATCTGATGAATAGGATGAAGCTGGAACAGAATATCAAGGAGCTCGAAAAACAGCACATGCTGCACCCAGAGAGGGAAATGTGGAACAAATTAATTAAACTTAAATTTGAGATGAACAGCATACTGCAGAAAAAAGCTGAATATGCAATGTTTTGCCTGAATCAAAAGTATTTTGAACAAGGGGAGAGAACAGGTAAAATGCTGGCGCACAGGGTTAAGCAGATAAAATCTAGCAACCTTATACCATCTATTTTTGATAATAATACTAATAATAATAATAATAAGTTGACCACCTGTAAAAAAGAAATTAATGATGCTTTTACTAAATTCTGTCAGGAGCTGTGCACCTCCAATGGAGGAACAGAGGTTGACAGATTTCTTTTCTTCTATTAAAATTCCCAACCTGTCCGAAGACCAAAGAACTGTATTAGAAGGAAAGGTCACACTAGCTGAAGTTAAGCAGGCAATTGGTAGTCTTAGATTGGGCAAATCTCCAGGCAATGACAGATTTCCTTCAGATTTTTATGAGGTGTTTATGGACGAATTAGCTCCAAGACTACTGCCGGTGTATCAAGATGCGCTTCAAAAGGGGAGATTACCACTATGCAATCGGCAGTGATCACGTTATTACACAAAAAAGGGAAAGACCCACAGTATTGTGGGAATTACCGCCCAATTTCATTAACCAACGTGGACGAAAAGATTATCTCCAAGATACTAGCTTTGAGGCTTGAGAACGTACTTCCTTGCTTGGTGCATAGGGATCAGGTCAGTTTCGTGAAAAACAGATGTTCTGCAGATAACTTAAGTAGGATATTGCATATATTCTGGAAGGACTAATTTAGATCCTTCTCCTTAGACTCAGAGAAGGCCTTTGATAAAGTTGAATATCCCTTTCTGTTTTAAACGTTGAAGAGATTTGGTTTTGGTTCCATTTTCAGGCGGTGGATTCAGATGATGTACACAGATGCAATGGCTACAGTCACTACCAATGGGATAATGTCACCCTCCTTTTCATTAAGTCGGGGCACTAGACAAGGTTCACCCTTATCACCTGTCATTTTCGCCCTGTTTTTGGAGCCTCTGGCTATTGCTCTACGTGAATGTAAGCAGATCAGAGGGGTGGATTTGGGTCAAGAAGAACATAGAACTTGTTTGTACGCAGATGACATTTTATTGATTGCAAGTAACCCAGAATGAGCGGTTCCTGCAATCTCCTTGATTATTGATTCTTTGTCTGCAATCTCTGGCTACACCATAAATTGGTCGAAGTCCGAAGCTATGCCCATTTCTAAACTGTGTCCTCCAGCCATTAGGAGCTCATGGCAGTTCAAGTGGATGCTCGAGGGTTTGACCTACTTAGGGATTAAATTGACTCCTGGTGTAGATAACATAATGCAAGTAAATATCTCCCCAGTGATTCAAAATATTCGCCCGCTTTTGGAGAATTAGGTCAAAATGAATCTGTCCCTTTTGGGCAGAATTAACCTGGTAAAGATGATCATT